TTCCCCTCCCCCCCCCCCCGGTTTTTTTTTTTTGTGTGTGTGTGTGTGTGTGTGAATTTATTTATTTTTATCTCCCACCAATAAGTGAGAACCTGTGGTATTTCTCTTTCTGTGCCTGACTCGTTACACTTAATGTAATTCTCTCAAGGTCCAAAATGGTTATAAACCAATGGTTATAGCCCCAGCTTTAATCTCCACTCGCTGGGTTATTTAGGCACGTGATTTCTCTCGATGAGTCAGTTTCGCTGTCCATAAAATGAAGAAGTTGGCCTCGATGGTCTGTGAGGTTTCGCTGAGGAAAGATGGTCCAGTCCCCTCCGCTCCGCACCGCTTTTCCAGTAGTGCTCCCAGTTTGGGCCCTGGAGCACTGGATCCGCCTAAACCTGCGCCGCGCTGACTCGGCTTTCCTACGCAGCGTGGCTGTCGTGGTGGGCGCCCCGCGGACCCTGGGCCGCAGCCAGGAGGAGACAGGCGGTGTGTTTCTGTGCCCCTGGAAGGCCGACGGTGGCCAGTGCAACTCTCTGCACTTCGACCTTAGTAAGTCCCAGGCAAAGGGGAGAAGGAAGGGATTAAAGGGACGAGGACGGCCGGGCTTCAGCTCCCCGCCCCTTCTTGTGCACCCCAGGTGATGAGACCCGAAAAGTAGGCTCCCAAACTTTCAAAACCTTCAAGGCCCGGCAAGGACTGGGAGCGTCGGTCGTCAGCTGGAGCGACGTCATTGTGGTGGGCGTCGCAGGACAGGGCACAGGGAACAGTCGGGGGCAGGGACACGTGGGGAGAGGGGTGCCCCAGGCTCGCGCCTTTCCCCACTCTCCTATGGCTCTGCTCCAGGCCTGCGCCCCTTGGCAGCACTGGAATGTGCTAGAAAATGCCGAGGAAGCTGAGAAGACGCCCGTAGGTGGCTGCTTCGTGGCTCAGCTTCAAGACGGCCGGCGCGCGGAGTACTCTCCCTGTCGGGCCAACACCATGGGCGACGTTTACGTACAGTATAAGTTTAGTAAGCTCCGCCCTCTTGGCCCCGCTTAGCCCCGCCCTTAACCTGTTCCCTCCCCCAGCGATCCCGGGCCTGCTTTCAACCCAGCATCGCCCAATGGCCCCGCCCCTGGCCCCGCCCCTCTCGCACCGATTTAGGCCGCGCCCCAGCACTCGCCCTAGCCCCGCCCCTGCAGGATTCCGCCGGAGCCAGGCTCCAGGCTGCAGTGCACGCTCCTTCATCAGCCCCTTTGCTGACCCGTCCTCCTTGTCTCCTCTAGGTGGAGACAGGCGCTACTGCGAAGCGGGATTCAGCTCCGTGATCACCCAGGCAAGTAGGATGCAAAAGCCGCGTGGGGGCAGCCTCCGATCAGGGCGCCCTGTCACCTCTAGGGCTTCCCTTTCAGGCTGGGGAGCTGGTGCTTGGGGCCCCTGGCGGCTATTTTTTCTTAGGTACGTACCTATCCGTCCGCCTCCCTCCGTTTTTGCGGCCTGGGGAGACTCCAGGCGTCTGGGCCCCCACACCGCCTGTCCCTCGCGCCCTAGGTCTTCTGGTCCGAGCTCCAATTGCCAATATCGTCTCGAATTACCGGCCGGGCACCCTTTTGTGGCACGTACCCAACCAGCGCTTCACGTTCGACTCCAGCGACCCAGAGTATTTCGACAGCTACCGGGGTAACCCTGGCACCTCCCTTCCAGGCTTCCCAGCACTTAAGTGGCACTGCCCACGCCAGCTGGTCGGGTCCTTGCGGGAACCTCCATGCCAACCCAAGCTGGCCAGCCCCAGCGGCTAAGGCGCCTCTGCCCTTTTTCCTGCAGCTTCCCCCGCGGGCTGCGCAAGTCCCATGCGCCCCGCCTCGCCCTTCGCGCCAGGGACTCGCAGAACAGCTTAGGGCAGGTCTTGGCCTCTTGATGGCCTCAGTTTCACCATCTGCACGATGCAGGGTTGGACTAGGTGGTCTGTGAGTCCCCTCCTTGCTTGCCCTCGGCCTCCCTCTGCTTCGTCCTTCCAGAGAGACTAATTTAAACTATGTCCTCAGGGTACTCGGTGGCTGTGGGAGAGTTCGACGGGGATCTCAGCACTACAGGCAAGAAATCCATCTAGGGGCGGGAGTTGGGGAGCCCAACCCGGGGAGGAGCACCTCCCTGAAATCTCCTGTGGGCGCAGAAATCTCCCAGCACCAACATCTCCCCTGGGTGTGGGATAAGGGACGAGAGGTCTCAGGACCTCATTTGCTGAGCCCGGCTCTCCCCAGAGTATGTCCTCGGTGCCCCCACTTGGAGCTGGACCCTGGGAGCGGTGAGTGTCCCCCGCCCCCCAACTCCTTCCCTTCCTCCCCTGGAACGGATGGCTGTGGTAGGAGCAATAATGACGCGCTCCCATGCGCTGTCGGTGCAGGTGGAAGTTATGGACTCCTACTACCAGACGCTGCACCGGCTGCACGGAGAGCAGGTGAGGTTGGGTCCCGGTGTGAGCGGCCAAAGCAGGGGACGGAGACCCCAGGATATCCCGCGGGATGTAATTGCTGCTGTCTCGGAGAGGGTGCTGGGTCTGGAGGCGTGAATTAAGGGGCTCCTCATCTTCTTGCAGATGGCTTCGTATTTTGGGCACTCAGTGGCCGTCACTGACGTCAATGGGGATGGGTGAGGAGGGGGACACCCCACCCCTACCCAGTTGGCTCCTAATTACCAGAGGCAGGAGACGCCCTCGGTTTCTCCCTTTCCTAGCCCCCACTCTCACGTGACTACCCAGGAAAGCGGAGGGCGAGAGTGGGTGAGATTTGGCTCTAGCACCCAGGATCCCCATAGCCCGACCCCATATAACCACCCACCTGGCCCGCAGGAGGCAAGACCTGCTGGTGGGCGCTCCACTGTACATGGCGAGCTGGGCGGGCCGCAAGCTGGCCGAGGTGGGGCGTGTGTACTTGTTCCTGCAGTCCCGAGGCCCCCACGCCCTGGGCACCCCAAGCCTCCTGCTGACAGGCACACATCTCTATGGGCGATTCGGCTCGGCCATCGCGCCCCTGGGCGACCTCGACCGCGATGGCTACAATGGTGAGGGAAAAGAGGATCCCCACTTGCTGCAAAGGGGTTACCAGCCACCACAGAAAGTATGGACTTGACCTGAGGGCAAGCAGTGACCTTATCATATATGTAGTTTAGACGTGCAGTCTGCTGAGTTAAAGGAGACCAGTTCCAAGAGATAGTGACCACCTGCATGTGGATTTTGGCCATAGAGTTAGAGATGAGGGTGACTTCACAGCTATTTAGGACTTGATGAGAGACTGGGTGTGGGGCTAAGGGAGAGAGAGGAATTGGGTGGGTGATGGTGCTCTTCACTGACTGGAACTCAGGCCATGGAGCAGGTCTGGGGTGGGAGGACAGAGATCAGCAGTTCAGTTCTGGACCTGTTGAGCTTGAAGGGCTTGGGAGCATCAGGCAGAAATGACCAGAGAAAACTTGGGTGTTACTTCCCCCACTTCCACGAGAGAGATCTGAATGGCAGGAAGGGGATTGGGGAGGGTAAAATGAGAAGATGCCCAGGATAGAGCCCTGGGAAGCAAGAATATTTAGGGGACTACTAGAGGAGGCGAGTCTGGGAAGGAAACAGAGAAAGAGTGTCAAGAGAGAGAGGAGGGAAGCCAGGAGATCTGATGGCTCAGAACTCAAAGGAAGAGAATGCTTTAAGCAGGAGGAGGTGGGCGGGAGGGCTCAGTGGTTCCTGATGCTGATGAAAGCTACGATTAGGGCTGGAGAAGATTCATGGGCTTTAACAGGAAAGAGGTCATTGGTGACAGTGATAAGAATCGATTCTTACAAAATAATAAGATTATGGTGATTAACAAATACATTTTCAAAGGTGATCTTGAAAGTTATTGGTGATGGCCTGGCCGGTTAGCTTAGGTGGTTAGAGCACGGTGTTATAATACCAAAGTCAAGGGTTTGGATCCCCTTACCCGCCAGCCATGAAAAAAAAAGTTATTAGTGATAACGAGCCCATGGGTAGCTCTGAATTTGCATGATGGAAGTGGAATGGAGTGAAGGTCCCTAGGGAAAGAGGGGGCCAGTATTTAATAGGTCTCAATTACTCAATCTTCTGGTACTCAGTTTTCTTATCTAAAATGGGAATAATAAGGCCTAATTTTCAGTATGAAATAAAATCTTGTCAATATATTTTCCTCAATAAATAGTGAAGACTGTTACTATTTTGTACCAATCCTACTTGAGGGTCTCCTACCTGATTGTAAATTCCTTGGTGGCAGGTCACTTGACTCCTTGACTCAGACTTTGTACCCCTTTCCTGGTCTACTGGGGTCTGCCCAGAGAAGGAGCTCAGGAAAGTTTTACAGAGTCATCTGGGGGAGACTGAGTAACAAACTGCTACTCCCTTTCTCTTACTCCTTCCAGATGTTGCAGTAGCCGCCCCCTACGGGGGTCCCAGTGGTCGGGGCCAAGTGCTGGTGTTCCTGGGTGGGAATGAGGGGCTGAGCTCACGCCCCTCCCAGGTCCTGGACAGCCCCTTCCCCACACGCTCTGGCTTTGGCTTCTCCCTGCGAGGTGCTGTAGACATCGATGACAACGGATACCCAGGTGCCCCTGGACTGCCTCCATCTAAACAAGAAAGACCCTTGGGCATTTGTTGGAAGTGCTGAGAGATACAGCAGGGGCCCCTGCCTGACCTGGTGCCCCACTGTGGGCTCTGAGCTGTCTGTACAACTGGAATGCCAGGGGGGCTAGGTCAAACTTCCAATGGGGGAGGTGGTATAGGAACCCTTAGGAATATGAGATGAGGACCCTATGCCCTCTCTAATTGCCAATTCTGACCCCTCCCCCATTGTCTATAGACCTGCTGGTGGGAGCTTACGAGGCCAACAAGGTGATTGTGTACAGGTGAGCAGTGGCTCCAGGAGCTGGCTGGGGTGGGGAAGGGCCCACAGCATCAGAGGAGGCTGGACAAGGAGGGGACACAGTGGCAAGACCCGCCCATCCACCAGAGCTCAGCCGGTGGTGAAGGCCACTGTTCAGCTGCTGGTGCAAGATTCGCTGAATCCTGCTGTGAAGAATTGTGTCCTGCAACAAACCAAGACACCAGTGAGCTGGTGAGGAGGTGGAGGGAATGGGCCAGGCCGGATCTGGGACCTTGGGAGGCCCTAGTCCCTGAGCCCCACTCATGTCTTTGCAGCTTCGACATCCAAATGTGTGTGGGAGTCACTGGGCACAACATTCCTCAGAAGCTGCGTGAGTGGCATACAAGGGGCAGGAGGGAGGTGGGCCTGGGCTCCCCGCAGAGGCTGGCCAGGGAGATCCTGACCCTTTCTGCTTGCCCTGCCAGACCTAAATGCTGAGCTGCAGCTGGACCGGCAAAAGACCCGCCAGGGCCGGCGGGTGCTACTGCTGAACTCTCAACAGGCAGGCTTCACCCAGAGCCTGGACCTGAGCGGAAAGCACAGCCCCGTCTGCCACACCACCACGGCCTTCCTTCGAGTATGCCCAGGCTAGGGATCGGCAGGGCTGGGTGTGCAGAGTTCACCTACCAGACTTGTTCATCCAGCCCTGGGGCACTGGGCTAGGTGCTGGGGTTTAGTAGTGGTCAGTAGGGAATGGTCTATACTGGCTAGGAGAAGGTGTGGTGTGCATGGTAGCAAGATGGCCTGACTCTTGTCCCCTCCTAGGACGAGGCGGAATTCCGGGACAAGCTGAGCCCCATTGTGCTCAGCCTCAACGTGTCCCTGCAGCCCGAGAAGGCTGGAATAGCCCCTGCTCTCATGCTACATGGAGACACCCATATCCAGGAGCAGGTGGGGCAGGCAGGGGAGGTGCAGGACCCCTGACAGAAAGTCAGGGTTTGAGTTAGTGCCTAAGTTGTAATGTGAACCCCAAAACCTTGATGTTGCCGCTGCTATCTGATGTCACTCTTAACCCTAATGGAACCCCAGAATGTCAATATCCCCTAAATTCTGATACAAGCCCATAAATCCTAATATCACCATCAAAACCCTGACATTGTCCCAAACCTTCATATAAACCCCAAAACCCTGATGTCATCTCCAAACTCCTTTTCATTCTTAGATCTCCTCTTTTCCTAAGCCCTGATGTAAATCCCCAGTCCACTGTTGTGTTCCTAACCCTTATGTGACCTCCAAGCCCCACCTGCCCCAGCTTACCCGCACGCCCTGCTGTGCTTCCTCTAGACACGCATCGTCCTGGACTGTGGGGAAGATGGTGTGTGTGTCCCCCAGCTGCAGCTCGCTGTCAACGTGTGAGGGGACCTCTCAGTCTATCCTACCCTGGCCCTCTTTGCACCATTGATAACCACTCGCCACCTGAGTCCCCTCATCTCCTCCCAGACCCTAGGCCTGGACCCAGCCTCGCTGGCTTCACCCCTTTCCCTCCACAGGACAGGCTCCCCGCTGCTAGTTGGCACTGATAATGTGCTGGAGCTGCAGGTGGATGCAGCCAACGAGGGTGAGGGGGCCTACGAGGCAGAGCTGGCCGTTCACCTGCCCCCAGGTGCCCACTACATGCAGGCCCTCAGCAACATGGAGGTGAGGCCCCCACACTGGGGACATTACCAGAGACCTGGGAGGTACAGGAGCCTTGACTCTTGTCTCTCACCCCAAGAGTTTCCACTTCTCTTATGCTTTGCTTAAAAGATGTAATTTGTTTTAATTTGGAAGAGGAGTCTTGCTAGTGGCACAAAAATTTGAGCAGTCTATTATAGCCTCCCCCAACCCACCCCAAAAGGCTCAGGAGCCAGATGTTAACAGGAACCTCTGTTAACATTTGGTGGATTTCCTTCCAGTCATTTTTCCCAACACTGACTGGCACTTACATAGGTATATGTTTATTTTTTAACATACAAACCGGCCATCCCTATATATGGGATCCGAACCCGTGGCCCTGGTGCTATCAGCACCGCACTCTCCCGAGTGAGCCACAGGCCGGCCCGAAAAAAGATTTCTGAGCCTCCCCCAACCCACCCCAAAAGGCTCAGGAGCCAGATGTTAACAGGAACCTCTGTTAACATTTGGTGGATTTCCTTCCAGTCATTTTTCCCAACACTGACTGGCACTTACATAGGTATATGTTTATTTTTTAACATAGTGTATAATAATTGGGTCATACTCTATGTAATGGTTCATATTTTTTATTTCCAAGATGAAAATTCATTAAAAAATTAATAACGTGCTACAGCAATGCATAAAGTAGAACATGATGGTCCCTTGAAGTCCCACCCCAAGGAACTCCCTTCCCCACTCCGGCGAACCCGGGGCCTTGGTGTTCTCAGCACCGCACTCTCCCGAGTGAGCCACGGGCCGGCCCTCTGTTAACATTTGTTGGATTTCCTTCCAGTCATTTTTCCCAACACTGACTGGCACTTACATAGGTATATGTTTATTTTTTAACATAGTCTATAATAATTGGGTCATACTCTATGTAATGGTTCATGTTTTTTATTTCCAGATGAAAATTCATTAAAAAATTAATAACGTGCTACAGCAATGCATAAAGTAGAACGTGATGGTCCCTTGAAGTCCCACCCCAAGGAACTCCCTTCCCCACTCCGGCACAAAAGTGTTTCCCAGACTTTCCAAGGGAGCTTAAATCTATGTGGGATGCTCTGTAACCACCTTCTTTCTTGCAACTGCCTTTCTGAAGGGCTTTGAGAGGCTCAGCTGTAACCAGAAGAAGGAGAACGAGACCAGGGTGGTTCTGTGTGAGCTGGGCAACCCCATGAAGAAGAGTACCCGGGTGAGGCTGCAAGTCGTGGCTGCCGCATCTGTCCCATCAGGAGCCCCTAGACATCCAGGTTTAGGGGCTGGGTTTTAGAGGCAGATAGCTCTGGATTGGAATCCCGGTCCTCACACTCCCTAGCTCCGTATTCTTGGGTAAGTGACTTTCCCTCTGAGTGGGCTTCTGGATAAAACAGAGATAATAGTGACCTCGGAGCAGGAGAACTAGAGGCCACATTCAGAGCAGGGCTATATGTAACAAAACAGATAAATGACTTTAGCTGGCCAGTTAACTCAGTTGATTAGAGCGCCACCTTGTAACACCAAGGTCAAGGGTTCAGAACCCTGTCCCAGCCAGCTGCGGAAAAAAAAAAACTCTGGAATAATCAAAACAGATAAATGACTTTAGCTGGCCAGTTAACTCAGTTGATTAGAGCGCCACCTTGTAATACCAAGGTCAAGGGTTCAGAACCCTGTCCCAGCCAGCTGCGGAAAAAAAAAAAAAACTCTGGAATAACAAAACTCTGGAATAATATGTAACAAAACAGAGCAGGGCTGCCCAGGGTGGGCGATGACTTTGGCCCCTCTCTATCTCCCAGATAGGAATCACGATGTTGGTGAGTGTGGGAAACCTGGAAGAAGCTGGGGAGTATGTGTCCTTCCAGCTGCAGATCAGGAGGTACTGCACTGGGGAGCATTCTTACCCAGCACCCTTCCCCTATCTCTGACCCTGAGGCAGAGACCCTCAGACCCCTTCCATACAGGAGGGTTTTCTGAGATGCCTGCTCTTCAGACCTCCCTGTTCTCTTTCTTCCTCAGAGACTTGTTTCTGAGTCTTCGAGTCCTAGAGGAAGTTCTTTCCCAGGTCTAACTTCAGTGTGGCATGCTGTTTGTAAAATTAGCTCTCTCTTAGCCCTCTAAAATTCTGACCCCACCCCAGAGAGTCACTGGGCTGGTGTCCCTGACCTGCTTCTCCCCACCTACACCCCCACCCCCACCCTCCCAGCAAGAACAGCCAGAATCCAAACAGCAAGACTGTGCTGCTGGATGTACCAGTCCGGGCAGAGGCTCAAGTGGAGCTGCGAGGGTGAGAGGCCAGGGGTGGAAAAGGGAGATGGTAGGCAGGGCTCTAAAGTCCAGGGGGCCCTGGGAGAACCCCCACAGCCCAGGCAGGGGATCAAACTGACTCTGAGGCACTTGGGCATCTGCAGGAACTCCTTTCCAGCCTCCCTGGTGGTGGTGGCAGAAGAAGGTGACAGGGAACAGAACAGCTTGGACAGCTGGGGCCCCAAAGTGGAGCACACCTATGAGGTAAGGAGGAGCCTCTGGGTGCTGAGCTAGAGTGAGAGGGTCCTAGGAGCTGCGGGCTAGGTGCCATCCCGCCATCATGCCATCCCCTCCCCTCCAGCTCCACAACAATGGCCCTGGTGCTGTGAGTGACCTCCGCCTCAGTATCCACCTACCCAGCCAGTCCCAACCCTCTGACCTGCTCTACATCCTGGATGTACAGCCCCAGGGGGGCCTCCAGTGTTCCCCACAGCCCTCTCCCAACCCCCTCAAGGTGAGAGCCTGGGTGGAAGAAAGGGCTGTGGGGGAGCCCCCAGACCAACAACCAGGATACCTCTGCTGGGGGCCAGGGGGTGGGGGGAGATTGGCAGACCAAGAGCCTGACTGCTGCTTTGCCTCTGCAGCTGGACTGGGGGCTGCCCACCCCTAGCCCTTCCCCCATGGCCCATCACAGGCGGGAGCGCAGACAGGCATTCCTTCCAGGGCCCAAGCAGCCCTCAAGCCCTCAGGATCCCATTCTTGTGGTGAGCAGGCTCTGTGTTCTCCAGCTGGGGCCTCCCTGGGGCCTAGGGGGCAGAGGGCATGGGAGGCAGGGACAGGGGCTGTGATGGATGTGGGCCTGGTGCTGGCCACCCTTAGTCACATGGAGTACTCCAAGTGAACATGAAGAATTATGCTGGGCTTGTATCAGGGGTGGGACACTTGCATTTTCTTAAGCATCTCAGTACATTAAAGAAAATGAAACATGCCAAAGCAAGGTTACACAAATTCTGGGTACTGAGCACTGTATGATAATCTACCTCCTCCAGTCCTCTCCCTGCATCTCTGGGACTATGTGAGCGGCCTCAGGTAGAGAGAACATGTGAAGCTTGAATCTGAGGACCTTCCCTGACCCTTCTGTGTTGGGTTCTTGGGGTGAGGGGGGTGATGGGCATGGAGGGGCTGAGGACTTATGACATCTGCCCTCAGAGCTGCGACTCGGCACCCTGTACCGTGGTGCAGTGTGAGCTGCAAGAGATGGCGCGTGGGCAGCGGGCCATGGTCACCGTGCTGGCCTTCCTGTGGCTGCCCAGCCTCCGCCAGGTGGGGCTGGATGCAGGATGGGACATTCGGGAGGCGGGGTCCGAGGTGGGAGGCCGGAGTTCAGGGGACGGGAAGAGAGCCGGGGCGAGGTTTACTTTGGGGGACTGGCGTAGGATTAGACCAGGGACAGGGCTCCCCTGCCCCAAGTCTGGGGCTTGGACTCACACAACCAATAGGCCCTGTGTGGGTCTAAATGGCTTTCATCCTCACCGTGTCTAGAGGCCACTGGGTCAGTTTGTGCTGCAGTCGCACGCTTGGTTCAACGTCTCCTCACTTCCCTATGGCGTGCCCACTTTAAGCCTGCCCAGCGGGGAAGCTCTGGTGAGTAGGGAGGGAGGGTGCAGAGGAGATGAGCCGTGCAGGACCCACTGGGCTTCTTGTGTCAGTGCCCGGCCAAGATGGGGTGGGGCCTCCCTGGGTCTGAGGGATGGTACAGGTGGGTGGCTTGTCTGGGGGTCACCAGCCCCAGGTTTGAGTCTTTATGAAAGGCAGGTGTCAAGGTGACTAAGGAGACACGTGGATTTACCCCCAGGTGCAGACACAGCTGCTTCGGGTCTTCGAGGAGAGGCCCATTCCAATCTGGTGGGTGCTGGTGGGTGTGCTGGGTGGCCTGCTGCTGCTCACCCTCCTGGTCCTGGCCATGTGGAAGGTGAGGTGTGAAGGATAGTAGAGTCCCCAGGTGGGCACAGGCTTGGCCCTGCCCTATCTCACAAGGAAGCGGGGAGAGATGTGGCTCAGGTGGGTGATCCAGAGCCCATAGGATCTACGTCCCCACTATAAGAATGTCATTCTCCAGAGGACCTCCTCCAGGGCATATACCTCTGGAAGGGGTGCAACTGAAATCCTAAGACCTTTAGAAGGTACACACACACACGCACATGCACACAGAGTCAGAGGGAATGAGTGCTGGGATTCCTGTCTGCTGAGGAGGATGGGGTTCATCTCTTTCCCGAAGGGGTGCAACTGAAATCCTAAGACCTTTAGAAGGTACACACACACACGCACATGCACACAAAGAGTCAGAGGGAATGAGTGCTGGGATTCCTGTCTGCTGAGGAGGATGGGGTTCATCTCTTTCCCAGGAAGCCCATGTTCCTGGAGGCGAGTGGGCTATGGGTCTGGGAAATTAGGTCGGGGTTGGGGGACAGGTGGCAGACACACCTCCTCCTGGCTGTGGGGGAGGACTTTGGACTTAATGCTAAGTGTTGGGGTAACCCATTGATGAACCAACTGACCTCACAAGAGCTACTTGTATTTGGTTTTACCCAAAGGGGTAAATGTTAAATTCTGAAAAGAATAATTTGACATCCATGCAGGGCGAGTTCCAGGGCAGGTTTCTAGGTGGGTGGCTGTGAATATTTAAGAAAAGATTAACAGTTGGTTAGAGTGCAGTGTTATAACACCAAGGTCTCAGTTCAGATCTCCATACTGACCAGCCACCAAAAAAAAAGAGAGAGAGAGAAAGATTAAGCTGTGATCCTTGAACAACAGCCACATTTCTTCCCCCCACCGTCATTGCAACTGGATGGCCAACTTATCTTGATCCAGCAAAGCATTTGGCATTTGCCTATAGGCAAGACAGAAATGTGAGCTGGATCATAGAAACTCAGATTTATTCATTTATTTTTATTTATTTTTGGCAGCTGGCGGGTACAGGGACCAGAACCCGAGACCTTGCTGTTAGTAGCACCATGCTCTCCCAAGTGAGCTAACCAGTCAGGCAGAGACTCAGATTTAGACCTGAATAATTCTGATAAAGCTGAAGGAGATCTCTATGGGGGTATCCCAAAGCACTGTCCCAGCCCTGGGCTGCCTGCCATTGTCATGTGTCCCTTGAATAAAGTCAGAAGAAGCCACTCTTCATCCTGTGGATGGCTGCTAGCTGGGAGGGAGTTCCAATACCATGGGTGACTGAAGCAGATTCAAGACAGCCTTGACAGATTGTAAAGTTGGGTTGAAACCAACAAGATGAAATTCACCAGGGATGAGCGCTAGGTCCTGAGTTGAGGTTCCAAAAAATTGGTTACATAAGAATGGGACTGGGAAATCTGGCTAGATGGAAATTTCTTTTAAAAAGAGAAAGAATAAAATAAAAGTCAAATAAAAATATTCTCATAGTAACTCTGTGGAATGGATAACTAATATGGACATTCTGTGTCAAGACAGGTGAAATAACTTGCCAACAGTCACACAGGTAGGAAATGGTAGAGCTTTAAATTTTAATCTAGGCAGTCTGAATCCAGAGGGTGTGCCCGTAACCATGAATCCTTAATTGACAAATAAAGATGAAATATATTTTAAAAAGAGAGGAAAGGAAGAAAATTTTTTAAAAGAGAGAGAGAAAGGAGGAAGGAAGGGAGAAAGGGAGAAAGAGAAAAGAAAAAAGGAAACAGGCAAGAAGGAAAGAAAGAAAAAAAGAGAAGAGAGAACGAATCTGGTATTGCCCACAACTCACAAAGAGGTCCCCTGAAGCCGGGAGACCCGACCAGGAAGGAAGCCCGCTGTCATCTACAGGATGAGGTCCTTGCCCTAGATATCCAGTCCTTTCCTGGGCACCACACTGTGAGAATGGGAGAAGGATACGGTGACAAGCCGGAGAGAACCAGGGGAGGAATGCCAGATGAGGTGAGGATCTGGCAACGCGGAAGCTGGTGATGATGATGACAACCAGAAATATTCAACTGGAAGGAAAGGGAGCTTGGCTGGGGCTAGGGCAGACCAACAGCTGTCTTCAAATGTGGGGCTCAGTGGCTGAGGAAGAAGGAAAAGACGGCTTGTCATTCATGAAGACAGAACCAGTGGGACCTCCTGGCGACTGTCAGTGGGAGAGAAAGGCTGCTTGCATTTCTGGAAGGACTTCCTAACCATCCTGACTGCCCAGCAGTGGACCGTGCTACTTGAGCGGAGGGGAGCCCCCACCTCACCCTGGGCCAACAATAGCACCACTGATTGCACCCCTGCTCCTGTCAGGGCTGTGCGGGACCCTTTATATCATTATCTCAACCGTTACAACAACCGTATGAGGTAGAGATTATTACAATTCTCATTTTGAAAGAAAACTGAAGACCAAAAGGCTAAGCGACTTGTCCACGGTTTAATAAAAGGCAGAAGCTAGACCAGAAGCCAGATCTGGCTGCTTTGGAGGGGCCTGCGCTGCTACCTACCTAACACGCGTGGGTGTTTGTGCTGAAAGAGCGGGACAGTAGAGCACGGAGTTCTTACACTTTTTTTGAGACACTCATGACCGTACCCCTTTGGGAGTGTGTTGTAAGCAGGAGTCATTCTCCCCTCAAAAATTTTGCACCTAATTTTGGGGGCTCTCGAACCCCAAGAACCCTGGTGATTGCACCCTAACTGCAGCGCTGGTGAATTGGGGGATATTCTGTTCCTTTGATTTGGGTGGGGGGAGCTAGGCGACCTGAGATCGGCGCTCCTGGGGGAAAGTGGAGGGAGGGACAGGGCAACCGTCCGGGGCGGGGGTCTCGGGGAAACACGGTGGGGAGGAGGGGGGTCCCCAGGCTCGGCGCCGCTGCCCGCTCCCGACTTGTTTTTCTCCCTCCTGGTCCGCGAGGCGCTGCTGCCTGAGCTATTGTCTACCGAAGACACCCGCCCAGGGGCGGGCTGGGGCGGGAGCCGGCTCCGCAGCCGCCTGCGGGTTTCTCGCTCCCGACCCCGGCTGGATGGGGGCGCAGGCGTCGGCTGCCACCCCAGGCCGGGCCGAGGGCCGGGCGCCTAGAACTGGGTTTGAAGGGGGGAGGGGAGTAGGGGGAGTGGGTGAGGCTGTGGGCGGGATTGGCTGCTCGAATGCTGTTCTTGGCCCTGGAGCCTGACAGCCCCCAGCTGGCCCCCCAGGTTTGAATTTGGGGTGCACCAAATAAATGCTGATTAGCCCTGATGGAGGAGGAGCTGCAGTTGGGGGGCTCTGAGAAAAGGGGTACATCGTGATTCCCAGCTCAAGGCGCATGGCAGGGCTGTGATCTCGGAGCCATGCTGAGCTGGCTGGCTGTGGGCAGTGCTGGCTGGGAGGGCAGGTGCCCGGGTCCCGGTCCAGGAGACCTCCTGTCACTCCTGCCCACTGCCCAACCCCAGATCGCCCCTTCCTCATCTCACCTCTCCTTCGCGCTGGAGACCCTCCCAGCGCCGCCTCGCCGGGCCCAGGTGGGTGTGTGAGGTGGGGGTGGGGCCAGCTCCTGCCGCGGAAGAGGGTGAGACCTTCACTCCACACCCGGTGCTCGGGCGCTCAGGGGCCTCCAGCCCCTTCAGCCCTGCGCCGACCTTGCAGCCTCCTGCCCCACCACCCCTTCTGCCCTCCCTTCCCCTGCCCGTGGGCCCCATTCCCGTCTGAAATTGTTCTCCACTCCTCACCCCCCACCCCACCAAGGAGCTGGCAGGAAAAGCGGGGGGTGGGGGGCGGGGGGTTCTGGATGAGGGAAATGGGATCCGGATAAAGGGAGGGGGGTCGGATTTCCTCCTGGAATGAGGTAGGGCTGAAGCCAGGAGAGGTGGATACTGTATGGAATGTCAGGCTTTGAGGAATGGTGAAGACTCTCTCTGCCTCAGTCTCCCCTGCTCTCTGGGGGAGGAGAGAAGGCTTTGCTAGATAGGAAGAAGCCCTCCATCAAGTCACTGCACCCCAGGGGAAGGGACCCAGTGAATTGGCTGGAACAGAGCCAGGATAGGGGGATCTCTCAGGCAGCTGGCTGGGAGCCCAGGTTGAGGGAAAAGGGAAGGGAATGTGCTAGGCATCTGCCCCTGCTCCTCCACCCCTAACCCCCAGCTTGGCAGTGATGCCTCCTTCAGGCCTTACCTGCCCACCCCTGTCTTGTTTCCCCAGCCCCCCTCCCCTCTTCTGAGACTCAGGCCCTTGAACCCAAGGCATTCCCTCAAATGACCATATTTCAGACTCCTGGGTCCCCTCTTCCCAGCTGCTCTATCCAGCTGCTCCTAGCCTGGGGTAGGAGTGGGGAGTCACCAGGCCCTTCTAGCTTCTCAGAATTCCTACTGGGTGGTGGACGCGGGGGGAGGCTGCCAGCTCCTTGGAGAACCAGAGAGTGGGAGTGGATTGAGTGTGTGCACCCACCCTACAGGGTAGGGCTCTGGCCTGGGAGGGGAGAGGGAGGTGGACTCGGGCAAACAGCCGGATGGGATGCCAGGGGCAGGCGTGGCGCTGGCCTTGGGTTGGAAGCCTGAGACAAGACACCTGTCACCATGAGTGTCAGGATAAAGCCTTCCCCCTTCCCAAAGCCTCCATGACCCCCTGACCTCCCGGTGCCCTGCTGGTCTCAGCTCCAGACTCCCCTAGGTTTGCCTCGAGCACCCAGCCCACTCCCCACCTGTCTCCTGGGCCCCACACTGAGGCCTCTGTACTTTGCCAGGCATGACACTCATTATTAGCAGCAAGGTAGGGGTAAGCCATGTTCTTGAGGGAGGAGTATGCTGACTGGGAGGGGTTAGATGGTGCTGTGGATCCGAGAAGTTGCCTGGGAATCCACAGGAACAACTCAAGGCCTAGTCCCTCCCCCACCACCCCATCTGAGCTCAGGACACCTGCAGGCCCAGCCAAGCTGGACTATCTTGGGGCTAGGGGCAGAGACAGTCCTGGAAAGCAGAAGACTTGGGCTTTCCTTCCCAGCCCCCTCCGCACCAGTTTTCTTGGGCCTGGGTCTCCGTTCTCCTCCCCCCCCCCCAACTCCTTCCCCTTGCCAGGGCCCCAGCTCCCTGCCAGATCTCCTGGGAGGAATGAGGGCGTTGCCATGGTGACTGACTTGTAGCTGACCAGCTGGGAGGGGGTGGGCTATACATGTGAGGGGAGGGGTCAGGAGGTATTTGTTTAAGCTTAGGGGTTGGAGTGAATTCCTAAATCTGAAGGGCAACAAGCTTGTGCAAAGGATTCTGGGAAGAGGACAAATGATGGGAATGACCAATTCCCTAGTGTCCCCTTCTCAACTTTTTCCTGAGAACCCAGACTCTGATTTAGCCTCCAACCTCCCTTCCAAACTGCTGAATCTTGACCTCTCTCCTCTCTACCTGCAGGCCCCTGGGTCTCCACTTACTCATCCTTTCTCTGCCCTCCCTTGCCTCTCCTCTCCCCAGAGACTGGTCTCCTAGGGTCCAGTGGTTAAGAATTTATGTTCTAGGGCTCAGGCTAGACTGTGGTGCTGATAACACCAAGGTCCAGGGTTCAATCCCTGTACCGGCTAGCTGCCAAAAAAAAAATTTATGTTCCAGAAACAGACTTCCAGGTTTGTATCCCAGACCTGCCACTTAACTGTAGTGCAAGTATCTGAATTCTTTTAGCCCCAGTTTCCTTATCTGTAAAATGGGATAAGGGCATATTTTCTCAAATCTAATACACCATTGACCATAAGACATTACCATTATTTCATCTACCAGTCAGAAAGGACAAAATGCTGCCAATTGTAATTATGACATCATTAATCATAAGCATAGACTGAGTTCAGAAATGTTAAAATGTGAAACAGCACCAGTGTTAGACTTGATAAAATGTGGTAATAGTACCAGCTCACAGGCTGATGTGAGATTTAAATAAGGGCTCTATAAATCCTGGCTCTTATTATAATACCTTCTCTAGCCTCAGTCCCCAAACCTCTCCCAACCAACAGCCCCCTCGTCTGACCTTGGGGCTCCCCTAGTTCTCTTACACCCCCTCCTCATCCCATCTTGCCTACAGAGATCCTGATCAAGGTGCAGGTGTATGTGAGCGGGGAGCTGGTGCCCCTGGCCCGGGCCTCCGTGGATGTGTTTGCAAACCGGACCCTGCTGGCTGCTGGTACCACAGACTCAGAGGGTGTGGCCACACTGCCCCTCAGTTACCGCTTGGGCACCTGGGTGCTGGTCACTGCTGCCCGCCCTGGCTTCCTCACCAACTCTGTGCCCTGGCGTGTTGACAAGCTGCCCTGTGAGTGCAGGGGCAGGTGGAGGGGGCAGCAGCAGACCCTCCATTAGCCCCTTCTCAAAATAGTCCTTGGGGGGAGGGGCTGGCTTTCCAGCAGCTGCTGCCTGGGCTGGGGTGTGCAGAGGGGGGCTGAGGGAGGATGAAGCCACTGGGCTTCAGATGGAGGGGCTGCCTGGCTGGGGAAGAAGGGTTTTTTCTGGAGCTGACAAGCCACCCCTCCTGCAGTGTATGCATCTGTCAGCCTCTACTTGCTCCCTGAGCGGCCAGCCACCCTCATCCTCTATGAGGACCTTGTGCACATCCTCCTAGGCTCTCCTGGTAAGGCTCCCTGCTACCCCATCCCACACCAACTCCTCTTCCTTCCCCTGACCTGGGTGTAGAGACCTCCGCCCTTTCACATAGTAGCTGGGTGCCCTTGGGCAAGTCATTTACCCTCTCTGAGCCATGATTTGTTGGTTTTTAAGATGTGGAAGGATAACATCTACATCATCAAATTGAGTTAAGGATTAAATAACATCAAGCGTGCAAAAAAGCAGCACACAAGTGTTCAATAAATGCTTATAGTCATCGGGGCTTCTTGTGGTTTCTATTTGTCCTCCATTCCTACCTCCCTGCCACCTTTAACTTCAGTGGATCTACACATATTTGTTGTGTACCTATTGGGTGCCTGGCTATGTTAGAAGGCCATGAGGGGGTCCTTCCACAGGTATTGAACACCTGTCAAGTGCGAGGCCTGGAGCAGTCCCCCAGTGGTCCTTGCCTACCCACAGGCTTCAGTCTCACCCAGGTAATCCTCGCTTCGGGCACTGTGGCTGGTGCCCGGCAACAGTGGTGAGGAAGAACAGGCCCACTCCCTGCCTCATGGTCACAGACACTATGCAGACAGACAAACGGATCATTGCAAACCCTGAGATAGTCACAGAGCAGGCAGGACAGTGGAGTAGAGGGCAGCTGCGTTCAATGTGGAGCTACCCCTATGCTGCAAACGTAGCCAGGCAGGCAAGAGAATCTGGTGGAAGGGAGCAGCAGGACCGCATGGACTTGGGAGTCGAAGGGGTAGCAAAGGCACCTTCACTGGAGAGGAAGGCCTGGGGGGGTCTCTGAGGTGCAGGGGCATAGGGGACAGTGAGGGTGCGGGGAACGCTCTGTCCTGGCTATGCAGGAGCTGGGTAGACTCCATTCGGCTAATACCAGAGAGCCACAGGGGTTTTGGAATGGAAGAAACCCCTCCCCGATTTATATTCTCAGCTTGAGCCCTTGTCACCCAATTACTTGTTTGTTCATCTTCATCATTCTCATCCTGAACCAGAAGCTTCTAAATGCCCCCTGGAGGTTTCTAAAATGCCAAATGGACCCTTTGTTGCCCCCTAGCTTAAAGCCCTCCATGGCTCCCACTGCATTCAGTATAAAGCTCGAACCCTTCACAGAGCTGACGGCACCCCCAGCACCTGCCTGCTCTTGCCTTGCCTGCTCCCACGCGTCACTGCGCCTGCAGGTCCCTGAACTTCAGCCCGCAGCCTCCTGCCTCTGGGTCTTCCTCACGCCAGTCCTCCTGGAAGGCCTTCCCACTGTTGTTCCTGACCTAGTCTTACTCATCCAGCAAGACTCCACAGGGCTCTCCCCGAGCTGAGCGGGCCAACTCCCCTGATACCCTGCACCCCTCCATTTTAATAGTGAGACAGGACGGAATGGTGGGCGAGAGGATGGGCCCTGGCACCAAGCAGCCTGGCTCAAGGAATGTAACCTTGGGCAAGTTACTGAACTTCTCCTGCCTCCATTTCTGGACCTATAAAATGGGGTTGATAATAAAGGCACCTACCTCAGGAGCCATTATGCTAATTACAGGGGTTAATATAGGTTATAGGTAACCTGCTTAAAACAGTGTGTGGCATATCTTAAAGCTTAATTAATGTTAGCTATGACCATTCTGTATTGGAGTTGTCTTACGTCTGTCCCCTCCATGCCAACACACACACCCACACACCACCTAAGCTGTCTAATGCAGTAGCCACTAGCTTCAAGTGTCTACTTAAATTGAAATAATTAAAAAATGTATTAAATTCTTAAAAATTAAAAATAAATCCAGTGCCTCAGTTACATGAGCCACATGCTTAATAGCCATGTGTGTCTAGCGGGTACCATAATGGGCATTATAGATACAGAACATTTCCATCACAGCAGAAAGTGGTAATGGATACCATTAGACGGCACTGCACTAGCCTGTGAACCTGAAGGCAGGGAATTGTGTCTTACTCACCTTTACATCCTAGTACCTAACCCAGTGCCTGCCACACTGTAGACAATACTAATTGTTTGAGGACCTGAACCTCATTACTTTATAGATTTTAAGGAAACAGTGTTTCAGAGAGAGCAAGTAACTTTCTGAGGGTCACACAGAGATTTCAGGTCCATGTCTCTTCCAGCCATGGTTAATATTCTATGACTGCCCAGTTCCCTCAAGGCACCACCCTCCCCGGCCTTCCCAAGTGGCCTGACCCCGTGGCTCCCCTTCTCCTTAGACACTTGCTTTCTGCTCTGGTCCCTGGGGAACCTTGTCCCTGGCCAGGCTACTGAGCCTCTCTCTCCACCCAGGTTCCCGCTCCCAGCCCTGGGTGCAGTTCCAGCGCCGAGCTGCCCGCCTGCCTGTCAGCTCCACCTACAGCCAGCTCTGGGCCTCGCTCACACCTGCTAGCACACAGCAAGAAATGCGGGCATTCCCTGCCTTCCTGGGCACTGAGGCCTCCAGCTCAGGTATGCTGGGTGCCAGGCAGGGAAGGGGTCTCCCCCACCCCAGGATTTAGCTCTCAGCCCTTGTGACCTCTCCCCTCAGGCAACGGCTCCTGGCTGGAGCTGATGCCCCTGGCTGCCGTAAGCGTGCACCTGTTCACAGGCAATGGGACAGAGGTGCCACTCTCAGGCCCCATTCACCTGTCCCTGCCTGTGCCCTCAGAGACTCGTGCCCTCACTGTGGGCACCAGCATTCCAGCCTGGAGGTTTGACCCCAAGAGTGGTAAGTACCTCAGGGCTTTGCATGTGTTGGATTTGGGGAAGGAAAGTGGGACTTAGGTGTGTGTGGGGGGGTAACATTGAGTTTGATGAAACCCCTGCCTCTCTCAGGGCTGTGGGTGCGCAATGGCACTGGTGTGATCCGCAAGGAAGGCCGGCAGTTCTTCTGGACCTTTGTCTCCCCCCAGCTGGGCTACTGGGTGGCTGCCATGGCCTCCCCCACGGCTGGTGAGAGGGGTGGGTCAGCGAAGGCAGGGGCCAGTGGTGGAAGGGGAAGCTGGGAGAGACAACTCCTGAAAGGCAGGAAGGGCACCCACACCTGAACACTAAGCCCTTATCTGGCACAGGGCTGGTCACCATCACGTCGGGTATCCAGGACATTGGAACCTACCACACCATCTTCCTGCTCACCATCCTGGCTTCTTTGGCCCTGCTGGTGCTCATTCTGCTATGTCTGCTCATCTACTACTGCCGGTGAGTGCGTGGGCCTCCCACCCCACAGCACCCCTCCGCCCTCAACCTCCTGTCCTCTGACTGAGGCCTGCTCTATGCCGGCTCTTATGTTGGGCTCTGGGGCCCCAAAGATGCATAAAAACACAATCCTCATCTTCAAGGTGCTGACGGGAAGAACTGCATATGCACATATAAAGAGAATGGTGGCTTAAGACAAGGTGGGGGGTGCGGATAGGAGGCAGGACGTGCAGGCCAGGCCCCCCAGAGACAACCTGCCGCTGCTCCTACCATCCCAGCTCTCACTCCCAGGGGACGCCAGGTCAGACATGCCCTAGTTGGCTCCGGTGCTCTTCCCAGGTACTCAGGGCACCTCCTACAAGGAAAGGAGTGCAGACTTTGCCGCGAGAAGAACCCGAACACAGCTGCTGGATGTGGGGCTCCCACAGGCACCCAGACTCTTTCCACCAACTTCTCCCATGCCCCAGGCTACAACCCGCCTCCCCTGAACGTCCCAGGCGTTCTCCCCACCCCATCCAACTGTATTCATCCTCGTCTTGCAACTGCGGGGTTAGGGAGCTACTACGGCCCTCACCCTTTCCTGAGGGTCCCGGTCTGCTCCCTCCTCTCCAGGAGGCGCTGCCTGAAGCCAAGGCAACAGCACCGAAAGCTGCAGCTTTCCGGGCCCTCTGACGGTAACAGACGAGACCAGGCCACCTCGATGTCCCAGCTCCACCTTATCTGTGGCGGACCCCTGGATCCCGCCCCATCGGGGGACCCCGAGGCTCCGCCTCCAGGCCCCCTCCACTCGGCCTTCTCCAGCTCCCGGGACTTGGCCGCCTCCCGGGACGACTTCTTCCGCGCCAAGCCACGCTCTGCCGGCCGCCCGGCCGCCGAGCCTTCTGGTGCCCGCGGGGGCGAGGGTGCCGGGCTCAAGGGCGCCCGCTCAGTCGAGGGTCCCGGCGGGCTGGAGCCCGGCCTAGAGGAGTACCGGCGGGGGCCCTCGGGGGCCGCGTTCCTGCACGAGCCGCCCTCGGCCTGGCTCAAGGAATGTAA